TTCCCCCGCGGGCCTCTTAAGGAATGCTTTGGGGGGGGGGGGGGTTCCACATTTCCCTTCTCCAATGGGGAAGCTGCACAAGGAGGAAAAAGTACTTTCCCTGTGGCCCAAATATTACAATGTAATTTACGAGTAAACATTTGAGCCTGGCTTGGGCATAAAAGAATCACACATGTATTTTAGACTGCCGTGTATGAATTTTTACTTTCTTAGGGGATAAAGTCCACTGTTGAAAGTGGTAGCCGAGCAGAACACTTTTCCATCCTTAGTATACGTTATGCACATGTATATCTATTTAATGTATTCTGCTTTCAAAATTCAAGTTTGGGAAAGTGAGAATCTTTGTGGAGTACTTGGAGTAGAGCATGGCAGGAGTGAGTGGGGAGATCGATTTGGATTTTGATGACTCATTTCATGTTAGGGTGCTACATAGGTGGTAAGGGAATAGGGAATACCCGTTGTGAGTGACAGTTAGGGAGATAATTTCCGTTAGTTGAGTACCTTAGTTCAAAGCCATTTTGAAAAAGAACTGCTCACAGTTACTTGTTAAGAGTTTTGTCATCTGCTTTTACAGCAGTGTGACAAGCACAAATTCAGGGGGTGAAACTTTCCCCCCTCACAACATGTCCCTACAAGGAAGAGCATAATCAGCTGAATGTATCTGCTTGTCACATATATATCAAAAGACACAGATTTTTAAGAAGTGGCAACCCTGTTTCAAAATGGAATTATTGCCTTCACTCGGATAGCCCAGGCAAGCCCAATCTCATCAGATCTTGGAAGCTAAGCAGGGCTGACCCTGGCAAGTACTTGAATGGGAGACCTCCAAGGAAGATCAGGGCTGGGATGCAGAGGCAGGCAATAGCAAGCCACCTCTCTGGAATGTCCAGGCCCCACCAGGGTCACCAGAAGTCGACCATGACTTCCAGCAGGGTCGCCAGAAGTCGACCATGACTTCCAGGCATACACACACAAAATACTCACAAAAAACAATTTAAAAATGGAATTATTGCTGGATATTGCAGATCATTGGTGATAGGTGCAGCATGGGAAGCAGAAGAGAACTACCACCGTGGGTCTTCTTCAGTCTTTGTCTTTGTAGTTACCTTGACCTCTCACATGACCATTTTCTTCCCATTATGTGATAACAGATGCTTCGTTGCCTCATCGCAGAAGGTCCCAGCAGAACTCTCCTGCCTCTGGGCATTCCGGAACTTTGGCTGCCATGTACCAGAACACTGTTTTCTGCCTGGGTCAAGAGTGTGGCACCTCTGGGAGCACCATGCTTGAGGGATACTGCCCAAAATGCTTTATTGAAGCACAGAACAAGCGTTTTCGTGAAGTCAGAAGAACTGAAGACCAACTAGTGAGACAAGCAGAAGTCAGTAAACTTACGGAAATTACTCCCCAAAATTTAACCCTATGTCTTTCTTGCCAGAAAGTCTTCATTAACTCTTTAAAATCAAGTCTTCACACAATGCTGTCCCAGTCAGCTGAATATTGCCTAGAATTCATAAGGGTGGTGTAATGTGATGTCTGTGTGCATATATTCTGCTCTTGTTATCTAATTGTATCTAATTGCTCCCTCCAAGCTGTGAGGTCTTGTGAGCAAAAATTCTACTTTGTGAGCTACTGGCATTAAAGTTGTGAGCAAGTGATTTGGTTACTGCATAAATTGTTTGCTCTGGAGCCATCCTTCTTGAGCTAAGACAAAAATGTGTGAGCCAGAGGCTAAAAAACTGTGAGCTAGCTCACACTAACTCAGCTTAGAGGGAACATCATCACAGTGGCTTAGTCCTTTTGCTGTTACATCTCAGTAAGCATTATTGGTATTGTCCTACCACGATACAGTGGGATGGAAAAATATAAACTTTATGTAGGGGGGGAAACTAGCCTATCGCAGAAACCGGAAAACCTGTGTTGTATCGAGCTTGATGCAGCACTTCTTTGGAAAGCCTAGCCCATGTGATACGTTTTTTCTTCCCCTTCATTTTGCAGTCATAAGAAATTTCAGCAGTAACATCCAACTTATTTGTTAATTCATATTTTTCCTTCTGCAATGAAAAAGAATAACCTGTCTGTCAGCAGTAACATCCAACTTATTTGTAAATTCATATATTTTTCCCTTCTGCAATGAAAAAGAATAACCTGTCATTTAGCTGTATGCAGGTTCTGTAAGATTCCTGCTTTGTCTGTGTCGCAGAGTGTGGTCAGAAGCCCCACATGACTGCTTTCTGATTGAAAGAATTTAAAAAAACCTGCAGCGTAGAAATGTCCTGACCTTAATATGAACAGGTCTTTTTCCAGAATTAGAACTGACAATGCTTTTAACTTTTTCAGCGAACAGGACAACACAGAGATTCACACCAGCCAGCTGCCAGCTCTCAAAAACGAAAATGTGCCACGCCTTCCTGCAGGAACAACTTAGCATCCAGGACTGGGGAACTGTGTCAAGAATGCCTGCGGGCCAGTAAGCGGGGACAGTCTGGGCAACCTCGGGGAGAATCTTCAGCAGATGAGCTTCCAAAACAGCGCTGCCGAGCCCCTGCCTGCGATCACTATGGTAACAAGAAGTGCAATGGCTACTGCAACGAATGCTACCAATTCAAACAAATCTATGGTTAGCAAGCATGGAAAATGTATGAAAACCGTTGCAAGAAAAGGGAAGGAAATAATGGTGCTACATCCAAAACACTCACTGGCCCTGCCAGGGTCTTTTCACCAGTACGAAAAAGACATGTGACCTTGCGGGGAAAACAATAAGCTGCCTTTGTATGTGTATATATATATATATATATACACACACACATATATATAATGTATCTATACTGTAATATGTAGATACATTTTGGCACATAGAATTTACCTGTGTGCTCCAGAATCCTGGAACAGAAAAGCAGTGTGCTTTCAGTGCAGTTGAGATCTGCTGGAAGTTTTTACTGAATACTTGACTACAATCTCCAGTCCCCACTTCCCTTGCACACATAGGCCATGTGCTGAGTGTGCAGTCTCAAGAAGAGATGAATAGAGACAGTGCTCCTTTTCCTTGTTACCTCTTTCACCTCATCCAAGTGCAAGGAAACCTGATGGATTGTTCAAGTTGGAGAGAGCTTTTTGCATAACATCTGTCTTGTACCAGGAAGGCTGCTGTCTCTGAAAATACTGAATTCTTCTTCAGTATTGCGAAAGTAAAACTGAGTGCAGAGGTGTGGCCTTTAAACTGCATTTCCTTTGTCTTTGAGGAGTTGTTTTTGCTTATAAAATACTTGGCCAAAGTTTCCCATTTTCGACGTTCTGTCTTTACTTACTTAGTGTGTGTGATGAAAGTCCAGTCCTCTCGTCTGTTTTTTTTTCAAGCAAATGCTTGATTCCTCATAAAACTTTGCCTTCTGAGGTTGGGGTGTGAATAGCCATTATTCCTCTGGCTTCCTGATGCAAAATTGTTTCTGATGAGGGATTTTGAGTGCAGTTTGCAAAGTTTGCACAGACTCCCTCTACTTCACTCTATTTGTGTTTGGCATTCAATACAGGTTGTCCCAGCTGTGCAAGCTGTGTAAT